TCAGGGCCGGCTGCACCAGTGGCCGGAGAGGTGCAGGGCCAGCGACATCCACACCCTCGGTCGTGACCATGGTGTCATCTGGTCCCTACACCTGCTCCAAGATGGAGGCCAGGCTGTGGGCACAGCGGGACATCGGGGTGGCCAGCCCGGGCAGCGGGGCTCCCAAGCCAGCCCAGGGGTCTCATGCTGCCTCCTGCCACCGTGTCCCCTGAAAGGCCCAGGTAGCCCCGTCCGATAGCTCTTGTTCCAGTGGCCAAAGTGTCCTCTGTCACAGTCAGGAAGCGTGGACATGTGTGGACGTGCTCCCCGGGCGGCTTCTGATCAAGGGCCTCTGTGCTTCTGGAACACAAGAGTCTGTTCTGCTTCAACAGGATGCTTCTTCGCATCGGCTGAGAATGGAGAGTCAGGTGGTGCACTGAGGTGCAAAGCTGTGGGGGACGCGCTTCAAACCCAGGCAGACCCCGAAAGACCAGCGGGTGCTGGGGCACCCTGGCCGCCTGGCTTCAAACGAAGGACTGGTGCTCCGGCCGCACCTGGTTAACATCCAGCCAGCGGTCACCTGTGACCACACCTTGGCCTGCATCCTGCTGCTCCTGCCCTTGCCCTTGATGGAGCTTACCCGAGCCCCGGTGAGAGCTGGCTTTCTGCCTGCCCACGCCTGCATCCCGCTGGCTGAAGGTGGCCGGACGGGGACGCCCGTCACACAGGGTGACCTCAGTGCAGCTCACGGTCAAGGGATTCAGCCCGGCCTGGATGCGCCTGGGTCCCCTCACCGCCTCTGAGCTGCACAGCCCCCACGTTCTCCTCTGTCCCCCAGCCGCACCCCTGTTCTCTCAGCTGATGACCCCCCAGAGAAGCGGAGCGATCCGAAGAGATTTTCCACCGACGTCTGACTCATCACCCACCTCCCAGCATCTGCTCCCGGGAGTCCGTTGGCAGGCGGGCTTCCAGGAGGAGCCGTTCCCCCTAAAACCAGACCCTCCCTGCGTGCGCATTTAACCTGATCTCCCCGCATCTGTTCCCAGAAATGCTGCCCTCGCCTTCCTGCAACCCGGATTCCTTATTCGCTGCGGGATCTTTTCCACAAACGCACAAACGTGCCGTTGTCTCCCATTTAAAAGGAAAACAAAACAACACAAAACCGAAAACCCCCCCAACTCCCGATTTCACTCCCTCGGCTGGCGGCCCTCCCGTCTCTTTGCTCCCCTCTGCAGCAAAATTCGAGAGAGTGGTCCCATCCGTGGCTGTTTTCAATTACCTCCCTCCCGCGACCTCTTACGCCGTCCAGGCTTCCGCCCCCACCGCTCTGTTGTGCCCGCCCGTGTCAAGGTCGCCCGTGACCTCCGCGTGGCTGCACACCCAGCGGGCAGTTCTCCATCCTCGACTTGCGTGACCTCTTAGCGGCGTTGGACCCAGCTGTGTGCTTTCTGTTCCTCTTGGCTCCTGGCTTTTCTTCCTCCTTCTCTGGGCGTCCGTTGTCAGCCTGGGCCGCTGCTTCTCCTTCAGTCTCTGACCCTCTTCTCCTTCCTACCCCCCCCCGCCCCACCCCCTTGTGATCCCAGGCAGTTCCCAAGGCTGTAAACACCTGCTGTTCACTGATGACCTTCTGAAGGTCTCTCTCCAGCTTAGACCCTTCCAGCTAATTCCGGACGTGTCTATCCAGCTGCCTGGCGGGCACTTCCATTTAGGTGTCTTAAGAGACACAGCAGCCTCAGCACACCCCACTAGGCTCCTGATCCTGCCCCCCCCACCACCATCTTCCCGCCCAGAGCATCCACATCTCGGGTGACAGCAGCTTTGTCCTCCGGCTGCTCAGCCAAGATCTTCACGGCCTCCCCTCTTTCTCTCGTCCCCCGTGTCCAATTCCTCTGAAAGTCCTTCCCACTATGGCTTCAGAATGTAGCCAGGGTCCGGCCACCTCTCACTGTCTGCACGGGTCACCGGCGTCTGGGGCGGGAGTGGCTCCCACAAGCTGGCTTCCAACCTTGCCCCGCTTCGTGGTCTATTTTATCACCTCCGCTGGAGAGATCACTTTACTTCTTTTTTTTCAAGTTTATTTATTTCTTTTGAGAGACTGTGTAGGACCGGTGGAGAGGAGGAGACAGCGGGGCTCGATCTCCCAAACCATGAGATCACGACTTGAGCCGCAATCAAGAATTGGACGCTTAACCGACTGAGCTACCCCGGCGCCCCTGGAGAGATTATTTTAAATGAGCTCCGCTTGACCTCCTACCGCGATCCTCCCCAACCCCGCACTCAGGGTCGATGGCCCACCAGGCCCTACGTGATTAACACCCCAGGACCCTTCAGACCTCACTCCCCAGTACGCTCTCCTTTCCATTTGCACTCAAGCCACATGGCCTCCTTCACACTGGCCGGGTTCACTTTGCGAGACGGTTCCTCCACGCGGAACTCTCCTTCTCCAGACAGCCACGGGACTAGCCGGCCACTGGCCCTGCACCTGTCCTACTGTCCCCACAGCACTCAGGGCTTCCGAACGCACTGTGTCATCTGCTCATTTACCGCACTTCGGGTTGTCTGTCTCCCCCCACGCTTTCCTCGCTACGCACCAAGTGCATCCGGGCACCATTTTTCTCTATTTTGGTTCACCTCTGATCCCAAGTTCCTCAGACAACACCAGGCCCATCGCCGATCCCAGTATCGTGTTCTTGAATGAGTAATCCTGACGCGTGGGTAATTTCTGACCAAAAAAAATGTTTTTGCAGCGTACATTTCTCTTCCATTACCGCCCGATAAGCTACCACAAACTTGTGGCTTAAAACAACGCACATTTACTGTCTCCGGTTTCCGTGGGCCACCGGGGTGCCTGGCACCCCTGTGAGCTCTGTCAGGTTGTGGGCAGAATTCCCCTCCTGTGGTTGCAGGATCGGGGTCCCGTCGATGGCACAGCTCCCAACTGCTAGAGGCCCCCCACCCTTCCTGACGCCACTGGACTTCCGCACAGACCGGCTCACGGTGTGGCATCTTTCTCTCCCGAGCCAGCAAGGGAGACCCCTCAAGGGCAAGACATCACGTGACCACGGGAGTGACATCTCGTCACCTGTACCACATTCTTTTGTACAGAGGCAGGTCACAGATCGCACCCGCTCTTCTAAAGGGAAGAAGATTACAGAGTGCGAACATGGGGGCCACGTAACTTTTTCTGTCCCCTCCTTCAGGCTTTTTTCTCCAGATACTGCACAAAAAGGACTTTGAGAAGTGTTTCAGTTAGGATGGGCTAGTTTATGCTGCAGCAACAAGTAGCCCCAAAGGCTATTGGCTTATTTTTCTTAATGTGCTTTAAAAAAAACTTGTTTTTGGGGCGCCTGGGTGGCGCAGTCGGTTAAGCATCCGACTTCAGCCAGGTCACGATCTCGCGGTGCGTGAGTTCGAGCCCCACGTCAGGCTCTG